CTCACCAGCACGGCCAGTGCCAAGTGGGTTGGGACTTCCTTCAAAGCCCTCTCTTGCTTCTGAAGAGGCAGGAGAAGTGATGGGCGACCCCTCCTGTCCCTCCAAGCCCCCCTTGGTACCCCCCAGGTCCAACATCACACAGGGTCAACCCCCATCCCATTGATCAGGATGCATCTTCTATCAGTGAAAACTGGCAGGTCGTTCCCCCCCACCCCCGTTGACTCTGTTATTTTTGCTCACCCTGATGTTGCAATATGCGAGGTGAGGCTCAAAACTGTCAAGCTCTTTAATAGAACCATTACTGTATTTTTGGAGAACGTTCTCTGTTTGATTTACTGTTCCTTAGAAGACAGGAAATGGAGCTACTTGATTTCATATTTTAAACAAAGCCGTCCAGAGGTTTAATGAAAAAAATTTTCCCTGGCTTTCGAATTAAAGGGCTATGGTGAAAGATTTAGCTTAGCTATTTTGACTTAGAAAAATAACACACTAGAAGCATTAAAACATTTTGTAAAAATACTTTTTACTACTAAATTTTTTCAGAGGAGAAAATAAGTTTCTCTGGTTTTCTCGCTCTTGGTTGGTGGGGCTGGGAAATGAAAGGACATTTCCAAGGTTTAGGGTGAGGGTTTTTTTTAATTACTTCTGTAGAATTTATTTTGCTTTTATATTAAAAGCCTTGAAACAATTGCAATGCTAAATCCCGTGTGTCTAAGCAAGGTAATTTGGTGTGAGTAATAACAGAAGCCTTTGCCATTAATAAAATGCGAGAAACGTTAAGCAGAAAGGTGAGGACCTGATTCTGCTCCATTGGCAGTGGTGGGAGAAAAGGGAGACAAATATCCATGGAAGGGGAGAAGTGGGAGGTTGTTTTCAGGCAAAAATTAGAGTTGTAATTGGAAAATCCTGTGTGTGGAGCACAATTAGCTCGGAGTGTTTGGAGCAGTGTAAACTTAAACTGCAATTGCAAAACAAAGCACTTTTGACCCAGATGGTCAATCCAAGGGTCATTCTTGTTCCATTTGGGTTGATCTGGGGTTTTTTATTGGTAGTGCTGTGGGTCTGGGATGATGCTTGGACATCATACAAAGAAGGCTGGTGGTCTTTATTCCCACCCAGTTTCATCTCCAGTAAATAAGCAGAGAAGTGAGTGTTCTGCTGGCCTCAAAACACTGTGCAATAGGATGAAATATCGGCATAATTTTAAGTCAAGGGGATTTTTTTTTTCCAGTGATTTAATGAGGTTTCACCAGGATTTCACTAGTAATTGCTTGACTCAAATAATACCCAATTTGCTGGTTCTTGAGTTGTTTCTAAATGAATTGCTCCTTTTAGGTGGAACCTGTTCCCCTGCCAAAGCCGTATCCGGGCGGGGGACAGAGGGAAGTCTGGGCTTCACACGTCAGGGTCTGATATTGGTGGCTGTCAGTAGGGTTTCAGCGGTCTGTCAGTGGCAGCACAAGGCAAAGCCTGCCTTCTCTCAACCCTCAGTAATCCCTGGAATCAGCAGGAGCTTTCTCAGCCCCGCTGGTTCTGCAGGCACATTCCGGCGGCGGGGTTGGGGGATTTTGGGAGCGAGGACGCTCCACTGAGGTTTATTTGTAAACTTCTCGCTGGCCGGCGATGGGGAATTTGATCCGTTATCAAGTGAGATACTGGGATTGAAAAGGGGAGAGCGAGGCAGCCAGGGAGAGAGAGAGAGAGATTACAATTTAATAAATAGCAGAGATAGGGCGAGCTGCTATCAGTGTAAGTTTAATGCCATTAACCCGTGTGCCGTCGGGAACGATGCACGGAGGGCAAAGCACCCGCAGGCTCCTGGGAGCAACCAGCCCACTGCCGTGTCACACACACTCCACAGAAGAATTTTCCAAGGTGTAAAAATACCCAGGACTTAATTCTGCCTTGAAAAAATCATTTTACTCTGATACATGTGCTGTCTGCCGATGCAGTGGCAGGACAGACAGGAAGGTGTATGACAATTGGTCTTGTTTTTGCTGGAGCGGTTTTGTTTTACATCAGAGAGGGACAGAGCCAGGGATTTACAGTAGGAAAGGACCTGCCTGCTCAAACAAGGTCCCATTTTCTACCCCTACAGCCAGAATAACCTCAGTCACACTCTGCGTGTTCAGCTTTACCCAGAACACCTTTTATCGATGTGTGTATGGAAATAAGGAGGAATTTGTGGGTGCCACTGCAGCCCGGACCAGATGCTGGTGCACAGACCTCTCCTGTTACTCACAGGCAGGGCACTCACCCACGAGGTGCAGCAGTGGCTGCTGAATCACAGCTGGATGTCTGGACATGGATAGTATTGCCAGATGTGCACTGCTAACGTGGAAAAGGACTGAAAAGGGAAGAAAGATAAAACTAGAGCTTCCCCAGCCTTATAGGTTGTTGGGTTTTTTTTTACAAGAAAACTTTCAGTGCAGTTAATCCCTCTAACCTGCATTTGCATTAACACTTGCAACCTCACACGTTGCTGCTAAGAAGTTTTGGCAGCTCCTGGCCCTGATTGCAGAGGTAACACTGCACTTGTCTCCTTTGCTCTCACTCAAGTATCTCAGGAGCCAGAGCCCGGCGCTCCACGAAGTTTCTCCCTGTACACATAAGCAGGCATCTTGGCAGAGCTTCAAAAGCCATTTGCCTTATTATTCATGTGTCTGCTTATAGGAGCAGAAATGCTCCCATTTCTCACTTCAGGAATAAAGGCAGACACCAGGAAAGAGGAGATTTCTCATCTCTGGCACAACCCTGCAAACCTGTGGGAGCTCATCATCCCCCCACTGCTATCCTGGGGTTTGGGAAGCAGGTTTAAAAGCCCCCCCAGTGGCTCTCTGGGTATGTGAACAGGCCTGTCAAAAACAGCTGAAATCCGTGGAGTCTTGGAGTATGTGCAGAGTGGGAGTCTCAGGGTTGCATGAAACTGTAGAAGGATGGCTTGGGGGGAAAAAAGCTTCAAAAAAAGATCAAATTTTGCTTTTCCTCCTGCCTTTAGGAGAGCTGACATCATGAAAATGTTTCAGAGACTTAAACATCACCGGAATTACTTCGCCTCCTCACTGCATTTTCTCAAACAAGCTTCAAGAACCCTTGCTTTAAAACAAATTAGTAGACTGGAGCAACCTTATAAATCCAAAGACCCATTAAAAGTTGAAATATTTGGTCATTCCTCCTCTTGGTTTAAACTGGGATTCATCCAGAGTTCAAGTGCATGTATCACATAAGAGCCACGGTCCCATTTTGTAGAGGTCCATTTCAGTGTTGATGGTTTTCTAGTGCCAGGAATCCACTCTGCAGCCAGGCGAGGAGATAAATCAAAGTTTGTTGCGCGCCGATGAAATTCAGGAGCCAGGAGTCACCATTGCAGCCCATATAAATCCCTGAAATGCCAGCCCTGGTGCTTTTGTCCGTGCCATTAGAGTTCAAAATTATCTGCCCCTCTTTGCTGATGTATGGATTAACTGGCTGCCCGAGTGTTTACTAACGGTTATCACCCGGTACTTTGGACGTTATCAGAGGAAGGGACGCCTGCCGCGGGGCTTGGTCTCTCACCCTTTCTATTACCACCTGTCAGTGGCAGGGGGTGTGTTGTGAAGCTGTACAGTCACAGACTACAAGTGTAGATAGTTTCTGACGGCTGATCAAAGGGGAAAACCAAAGGCCTGATAACAAGGACGTGTTTCATGTACTTTTAACTTTGAGAAACATTGGCATTTGCATTTTTTCTCCCCCCTCCCCGCCCCCCCCAGTAGGCTGGCAGAAACCAGGCACAATAAACGCTGCATATTCAGTTACCTAATAGTGGAGTAAATGGTATGTGCTTGAAGCAACAAAGCATAACTGTAATCTTGTTCCAAGTGGGAATGATTTAAGTAAGCCTTCGCAGAAGACTTGCTGTATAATAAAGGAGAATCATTTTAATTTGTACTTTGAAGTGATCCTGAATTCGGAATCTAATCTTTGCATTCGGCAGAACATCATACCCTGCTGTGAATGAGGTAATAACTGCAAGTCAAGGGGTTATTTGAAGTGTCTTTTGTAGGTACGTGCGCTCCGTCACAAGAACCAGCATCTTCAGTAACGTGCTGCTGGTGAAAGAGTCTCTCTTGGAGCACGTTTGACCTAAAACTTCACCGGGCAGGAACAGAGAAAACCCACAGATACCCCAGACTGAGGGAAGGGCTCACTTTCTTCCCTCAGCAAACACACTTCAGACACGAGGCAGCTCTGCCACACTGTTGCAGTTCTCTGTTTTAAGTGCAAGAAAGGGGTTTGAGCTAAAATTTCTGCCTATTGGCAAAGACAAAATGACTTGACTGTTTCCACTGTGTGAGGTAGGAAGGGGGGAAAGGATCTCAGCAGCAGCCCAGTGAAAGACAAATCAACTTTAAAAGTAATTTCTTGTTGTCTAACATATACTTAAAAACATATGTATGTTTTTTAACATTGCATGTCATTCACATTTTGTTACTGTGCTGCTTTCATGACTCTCACTGCTGTGAGACCGGAATTGGGTCTGTATTTTTAATTTAACCTTTTTACTTAGAGTTGCTTGGTCAAAGCTGGTCAGTACTTAGGGCTCTATCTAATCCTGCCGTGCTGGTAACACCAAGACAAATCAACTTGAAAAATAATTTCTAGATGTCTAACATATACTTAAAAGTGCATTTTTTTTAACATTACACATCATTCACATTTGCATTATTATGCTGCTTTTGTGACTCTCGCTGGTGCGAGACCAGAAGTGGGTCTGTATTTTAATTTTATTTTAATTTCGTTTACAAGTGCTTGGTCTCGGCTGGTCAGTATTTAAGGCTCTGCTGTGCTGGTAGCACCAACACTCACAACCAAGTTGCCAAAATTACCTTTTCACCGCCTCCAGACGCGAAAAGGGGCTTTGTTCTTTCCCTCGTGATCCGCGCGGGAGGAGGTTGGTCCTGGCGTGTCCCAAGCGTGTCCCAAACGTGTCCCAAACATGTCCCGTTTGTCTGTTGAAGGTGCCTTCGACCGGAGCGTGACCTTGCTGGAGGTGTGCGGGAGCTGGCCCGAGAACTTCGGTCTGCGCCACATGTCCTCCATGGAGCACACGGAGGAGGGCCTGCGGGAGCGCCTGGCCGACGCGATGTGCGAATCCCCCAGCAGGGACATAGTGGGATCAGGAACAGGTACAAAGAAGAGGTGTGATCAGAGATCACGTACATCTCACCCAATGGTGATTTTTGTTTTTAATTTTTATTTATTTATTTATTTATTTTAAGTTTTGCTTTTCTTTTTCTCTGTGCATTCTCTCTCTCTCTCTCTCTCTGATTAACTTTTGGAGGGGGGGATATCTCAGTGCGAGCGAGGTCATTCATAGAAGGGAATTAGTGATACCTCCCATAAACACAGTCTGAGAAACCTTAAATAAGTTGAAGAAAAATACTGGCACGTGAAGCCCTTTATCATAAGGGCTCTCCTCCCTCTCCTGCCAGCTCAGGAGCACCCGAGTTTCTCTGCAGGTTGCTGCCCTTGCCCACCCTGCTCCAAACAATGTCATAATCACACATATCCTCATTTTGTGTCCTGAATAGAGCCGCTGGTTCTGTAATCCAAATTAATCCATCTTCATCAGTGTCCATTATATTGATAAATTATATCATCTGTTTAAGTAAATGGAATGGCACGTCAGAGATTATGCTGTCAGGAGGGGCCCCGTGGTAGGAGATGCTCAGAAATTAAAACGCAGCTATTGCGGTTTTATTGTCTCCATTAATTTTGACTTGTTCTAAAAAACACCTCTAGTAAAAACACCCAACAGTTATGGTGGCTCCTGACATCAGCTGCCAGCTCGCTTGTTGCTCTTCTGGCAGCTTGCCTGGGAAAGAAAAAGAGGAGGAACTCTGGCAGAAAGGTGTGGGAATGCCAACCCCTGGACCTTTCAGGAAGGCTGTGTAAGGCAGGAGTTGTCTCTTCCTTTTGCTTTTGCCCTCATGTGTTGCTGAGAGTCTTGTGCTGCTCTGAGCTCTTCCTGCTCCTCCAGAAGGCGCAGGGTCTCTCCCACCAGGGCTCCTCCCCTGCTTTGCAGGTGGGTCACCTTTGGGCACATACAGCAGGTACAAAAACTGCATCTGCCTCCCACAGTCTGCAGGAGGAGGATTCAGAGCAGAATTTAAGCCCTTTTAACCCAACTGGTCACCTTTCCAGCTGTCTCTCCTCTGATTTCCATCTTGGGAAAGATGAAGTCAAAGGATTTGGTTTAAGATTTGGTATTAACAGAAAGAGTTGGTTGAAGACTAAGTGTGGATCTCTTAGAGATCTGGTGCAAATCCTCACCAGCTTGTTGCCTTGGATGAGGCACTTCATGTGTCCATGACTCCAGAGCTCCATCACTGCAGTGAGGATAGAGCTGCCTCACGGTGCTGGTGTGGAGTTTAGTCAGCTCGTGTCTGTAAAGGGCTTGGAAGGTGGAAAAAACAGGCTGTGAAAATAGAGAAAGGCACATATTTCATCACTTACTGACCCACACTGTGATCAGTGTGAACTTTGGGAGGGTATCCACTGCTGATAACGGGTCAGCACCCCTCAGGCTGTGGATGGTAGGGGAAAGGTGAGGGGAATACCTTCTCTGAAAGCTGAAGCCTTCCAGACATGCCAAGCTAAGGTGACTGACTGCCCTGGAGACTTCACAGTATATTATATTGTAAACCAAGAACTTTGTCAGAGACAGAGCCCTGTATTTTCCTTCCATTTCCACCAAGCCCAGCTGATGGCAGTGAGAGCCAACTTCTCTGGCAAAGGCTGAGGCTCACAGCACTGCAGGTGTAAAGGCAGAAAGGAGCTGTTTGCAGGGATGCCATCACTGAGCTAAAATTCATCCAGAGAGATTTCTCCCTGCTTTTACTCCAGACACATAAATCTTCCTAATGAGAGCAAGGTGGGTGCCAACTCAGAGCAGCAAATGTACGTGGCAGTAATGAGTAACGTGAGCACTGACCCGGCTCACCCCATCCCACCACCCTCCTCCTGCTCTCATTAACACTCTGTGTTTTCCTGCCTGTCGTGGGATTCTCTCTACCACTAACATACTTTATTCTCAGGATCTGGGCATGTGGTGACTCAGAGCAGCAGAGAGAACCTGGTGATAAGGCAGTGAACTCCCGTGCCCTTTCCACTTCCATCCCCTGACAGCTCTTGAGCTGCTCCTCTTACCAGACAGACATAAAAAGTTCTCTCCTGCTCAGATGGTACCTGGAGAGCTGCACTTGCCGAGGGAGTCGACTGGCACTGGCTGCCAGCACCATTCCTCAGGCTGGGAGCACAGGGAAGGGCTCATCTGTCTGCTGCTTAATAAATGGGGGAAGATAAGTGTGGAGCTACATTACCCTGGCTTCAAAGAAGAGGCATCTTTGTTGCCTCGTAACAAGTAGGAGAGTTTTCACTTTCCCCAAAGCACTTACATTGTACCCAACCTCAGCTGAACTGGTTTAGCTTTGAAAACATGCAGTTTTCTTCCTTGGTTTCTCTGCTGCCCACTCCCTGCAGCAAAAGGACAGCAAAGAGTTCAGCAGAAAAGGACACACTGAAGGTTTGCTTGTTGGTAGTTGATTTTTATGTTGGCGCTGCTTCCAAAACCAGTGGTTATATTTCTGCATTGGACTCAGAATTGTGGAAGTTATAATCTTCCTTCTAATAATCCTAAAATGGCTTATTTTAACTTGCTTATGCCTTTATGTTGTGCATCCTGCAACCTCTATTTGTGCTCCTTGGATTCGCTTCAGTCCTTAAATAGATTTTGCAGAGATTTAGCAAAACGTGCAAAGTCTTACTCGAGCTGCAACACGAATTAATGAACATTTCTAACTCGGAATGTTGAGATATGGAGCACATGCAGTGCACAGGTCCACTGTGTGGACAAAAAATGGGCAGTAGGGTGGACAGTGAGACTTTGTCAAGTGCTCAACTGGCCCTGACATGCACTTAATGGCAAGAGATAAATAGATTCTTTTAATGCCTTAACTGTTAGGGCATAGCTGACACGTAGATTTATTTAGTAATCAGGGCTGATGTGCTGCAGGAGTGAGGAGGAAGCATGTGCTCGTGGTGCACAGACATAAGGGGGGGTAGATACTCACAGGGTCTTTGATACCTGCCCCCTTGCACTGCAGAGCAGGAATGGCAACACTAACCCTGGGTCCTGGCTACTGGCAGAGGCAGAAATGACCCAAAGATTGGTCATTCCAGAAACATCAAACTGGAGAATGCTAAAAACATAAGGGATAATCTGGCATTTGCAGGGAAGGGGAATTAGATGGGTCTTTCCCACCTCCAACTCCAGCTGGTTGCCAAGGGCTGTTGGACAGTGGATGGGAGAAGAACCAGGTCTGGAAAATGACCCCCCAAAAATCTCCTTTCCTCGTGACCTAAATGATAACTCCAGTCATCCAGCTAGTTGACTTGATTGGGAAACCAGCTTTTCTCCTTGTTATCCAATTATCCAGACGACCCATGTCTATCTTAAGTGGAGTCTGCTGTACATAAGCTGTCAGCCCAGATACACATTTAATTCCAAAGAGGGCGTAAATTGGCAAAGATGCAAAAAGATGTTTTTGCTGTTTCTGTCAAACTCTCACTGAAAAAAAAAAAAAATTAGGTCTACTCCCAAATGTTAGTGGTCAGTGCCCTCTTTTGCTTGCAAAGCTTTGTTTTCAAGCAGCTACAATATTTACATTTGCAGTGCAGTTTCTGAGTGTGTGCTGGAACTTCACAGTGCATTCCCAAAAAAAAAAAAAAAAAGATTTATGTGATTTATGAAACTGTGCTTTCAGGAGACAAATATCTCTGACAGCATTCCACTTCAGCTGGACATGCAGAAATTGCCAGCCCAGGCTAGAAATCTTTCCCTCCAAAAATACAATTTAGTAATCAGTAAATCCTCTGATTCACCTATTCCTTCAGCAAGTACATTTTTCAAGCTTTCAAATGTATTTTGGTGATTTCTAGGCTTAATATTTAAAATTAGTCTATCATAGGGGGACCAAGCCATTACAGTCAGAGCAACAGGATGGTTTTTTTTTTTTTTAAATATATATTTCTTCCAAAACTCCTGCAAAACTCCAAGCCCGTGGGAAGCCCCGTGGCACAGCGGTGAGTTGCACCTCTGGCCCTCGGAGGAAACCATCTGGATTCCTTCCAAACGTCATGAACAAACTCATAATGCGATGAAGGAAGCTCATATGTTGAAGCAAACTCTTTAACCTGATTAATGGGATGTAAGTAAGTGGAGCTAATTAGACGTGCTGTTAGGGAATAGCCCGTAGGAAACCCGGGATCGGTGTTCCGGGCAGTTGGGATCCTGGTCCTCGGCCAAAGCCGTGTGGTTACACCAGCCTGAGCCTAACTCGGGTCTGGACACCTCTGAGATTTGCAGGGGGATGATTTTGAGATCTTTCTGTGGAGTGTGGGGCTTGGAGAGGTGAAGTCACGCATTTCCTGGTGTGCCTGGATGAGGTGGGAAGCGGAGGGAGGAGAGCGAGCCAGTGACTCCTGTGCAAGGAACATCCTTGGGGATTTTTTCCAAAGATACCTGTGGTCACAAGCTCTGTTCAAAGATCAGCAGCCACCTGAGCATAGATGTATCTGTACATTTAATTTCAGGAATAGGATTAGCCCTTTATAGAGTAAGAGCTTCCATTGGTACCTTCCCCTCTCTCTGTCTCTCCCTCCTTTCATTCTTTCCTTCCTCTTCCTTTTAATTTACCTAAGACAGTTTTCCCCTTCTCTCTCCTCAGCTGGTCCTAATCCTAACTCAGACATGGGCTGTAGGAACACAGGAACACAGAGCAGTGGATTTTCCCTCTGCGGAGCATTTCTGCCAAGAGATTTCTGCACAGGTTCAGTGCAAAACCAGCTCGGGCAGCAAACCCACTGGTGGATCAAATAACATCCATGCTAAAAGCAGCCTTTGAGCTTTCAGAATATTCATCCCAGGGTCAGAGATTAAATTACCCCCTCAAATAAGTTGAAGAGCTCAGTGCAGTTCTTCCTGCAAAAGGTTTATTTGGATGGGCCTCGTTTGAAAGGAAGGAAAATTCTGGCTCTTTAGGAGCCACAACTTTTGAAGTGCTGGGCAAGAGGAGCATTGGCCTTGCACACATTTTGGGACATGGAGCACTTCAGCCTGGGCTTC